CCCCCCCCCACCAAACCGCCTGCATTACCTCTTTTATCACTTTTGTGCACTTTATCATGACCAATCATTAAGAATTCATGTTTAATTTTATAGCAGTGCTAAAGTAATCAGTGGGCTATAATGTTGAATTTATAGCTGTCAGAGCACTGTGCTGAAAAGTTTACTTTGTTCCCGAAATTCACACCAACATTTTAGAACAGGGTGTCCCAAAAAACATGGGAATTCAGTGACGAATTCGATATCGTCTTTGTTAAGAATTAGCATTGTAATACCTAATTTCAAAAGCCATAATATTATTATGTCTGCTAGAGTTTATTTTATAAAAAGGGTAAAAGACTGTAAAGATGTGTCTATAATGTCTCCGCAAGATGAAGAGTGAATACGGACAAGTTTACTCTGTTTGTATACTGCAATTTGCTTGTTTTACTAAGTACAACCGTATGCAGTCAAAACATAAACAAACAAAATGTGAACATAGCAGACGAAACTCTTAAAGATTACAGCTTTCTCAGTAGGTATCACTATACTAAATCAAAGAATTAGTTAAAAAGACGATATCGAATTCGTCACTGAATTCCCATGTTTTTTGGGACACCCTGTATATTCCAAATACATTTTTTTACTTTAATGTAAGCGTAATTTCAAGTGACCATCTATGCAAACATTGCATTGCACAATTCACAACGGTACCCTTGAAACCTTTATTTAATCAAAAATGTGAAATATATTCACTTTTTCTATGTTTAAAAGTAAATAATTCTGATAATTCCTTCATGTTTCCCGCCAGTAGAAATGCGCATGTCAGTTTTGTAGAGAAACCACAAGTAAAAAAATCAGCTATTTTTATGCTATAGACACTGATATAAAACTCTTACTTGATCAGGTTTTTTTTAATCTCAAACTTGTGTGATGTTAAAGTTTGCTTTTATTAAACATTGCAATTTCTTTATCATTAAAAAAAAAAATTGAAAAACTATTCAAAAACAACATGCTTGTTTTTGCATTGATTTCGTATCGTTTTTTTTATTGAGGATGACTTGAAATAAAATGCATCGTCTCTTTTTTTTCAAAACAAAACATTATAACTGCTCTGCGAACCAAAATAATAGTGTTATAAATAGTTCACATGGATCGTTTGTTTGTTTTGTTCACACTGACTCTGAATAAACTAGAATACTAGAATACTGAGGATTGAAGAAGCCAAGTAAAAGGATACAATGGATACTGTGTTTCTCACGGATTAATACAAGCATGTTAAGGTATTTAAACTAGCTTGGGAACCCAGCGTGGCCCATGGGAGTCATAGTTAGTCCCACCGTTTACCCGCCCCTTGACGTTAATTAGGATTTTAGCTATTTTTACCGGTAAATGTGGATCCACTCAACTTAGAATCTCAACAAAACACATTCCCATGGGCCTCCTGAGTTCCCTAATCAAAATTTGAGGCAAATCAGTCAAGAGGTTCCTGACTTATGATCGGATAAACAAACAGATATCACAACTTTATATATTGATGTAGTTTCTTGTAGGAAGGAGAAAAGATAGAACGTAAATGAAACCTAATGAAAAGGTAGTGGATCAGAGCAGAGGTAGAAAANGGGGGGGGGGGGGGGGAGAGGGTAACTAATCAGAAAAAAATTAAGTAATAATGCAAAACCCTTAAAGTAAACAAAAAAAATGAAAAGGTAAAATGTTTAAATTAAAAAAGAGGAAAAATTTAGATTTTAAATAAACATATATAGCATATCTGAATCCAATTGTTTTGTATAATAAAGGGTTTCCCCCTAAGCATTTACCGACGACATAAAGCAGGGTTAAATAAAGCCTCCTGCCTCAAAACAGACAAGTTTTTCTGTCGTGTTTTCAGTCTCAACCTTTGTGGGTAACCCTGTATAGTGTATATTTAAAGAATAAACTAATGCAATAAACTTAGTTTTATTTCCAAAAACAATAAAATTAAAATTATTCTGGAGGAAAAGCCCAACTCCAGGGTTTCTGAACCATAGTAGCAGAGTAGCATCTAAACACAGTTTAATTTCAATATGCATTTTCATATAATTCCTATATTATAAGGTGGACAATTATAATGTCCCAAATACAATTTGAAGATGGCATTGACCAAGTTCCTTTTTAAAATATCTCTTTCCCTAGTACTGTATAATACATGTCTTACAATTTAGCCACCTTCTCATACTCTTTAGAGAAAGAAGGGATTTTTATTTCGTTGTAATTTATTATTTTTATATTCAACCAATTTTTATAATTTTATTTTGCACGAAAAAAAAATATCTACAAAATCAACAGATTATGAAAATATATATGAGATTATAGAAATGATACCGGGTAAATATTTTGTTTTTATTTTATGATCAAGTCATTACCTGTCTGTGCAAGGTATGTCTCCTGACATTAAACTCCAACTGTTGGTTTTCTGACGAAAAAGAATATTAAAATTTCTTAAAATATGTTCATATTTCTCTTTTACGCACTGTAATAATCAGAAAACCGTAAAATGGGTGTCGCTATGATAAATTTTTAAAAGTTTTTTTGTTTCTGAAAATGTTCATGACACATGAAAGAAATTAATCTGTTTATAAATGACAAAATCAATAGCTAAAATTCATTAACTAAAAGAAGAAGGAATACGACAATCATTCTGCACTGATTTCCGGTTATTTTTGTAATTACATTATAGTACAGCCTTGCAGGGTTACCCACAAAGAATGAAACTTTTATGACGACATAAAGCACTTTAAATCTAATGATAGAAGGGTTGAACTTGGGTTTCTGCCCTAAACAAAAGTCGGTTTTGATAAATTAACTGATTAGGCAAAGAGTGAAACGCACATTGGTAGGAACTATGGAATCAGAAATTCAAGAAAAAGGATTGAATCAATTCTGTACAGTCGTCTATGAAGTCTTATTCTATGGTGGGTTATAAATATATTGTTATATTGTTTACAGTAATCTTTAAGGGTTTGCAGTCGTGATAACTCCTCATTTAAACTGTACACTTGCACCGTTGCGGTTTTATTATCATTATCGATGGTATTATCATTAAAAGAAGTATAGTTGTAAGTTGTTAGAATCAAATTATTTTAAATATTATGGTTTATTTTTTGGTTTGAACCTGTGAATAGAGTTCAGCTTGTCCAGCTCTCTTCCCTCTACCCCCAACAATCACCAGCAAATTATGGATTGATCCTCCGCCTCCACCCCATCTTTTCCTAAACGAACATATACTTAATCTTCCCTCTACCCCCAACAACCACCAGCAGATTATGGATTGATCCTCCGCCTCCACCCCATCTTTTTCTAAACAAACATATACTTAATCTTCCCTCTACCTCCAACAACCACCAGCAGATTATGGACTGATCCTCCGCCTCCACCCCATCTTTTCCTAAACAAACATATACTTAATCTTCCCTCTACCCCCAACAACCACTAGCAGATTATGAATTGATCCTCCGCCTCCACCCCATCTTTTTCTAAACAAGCATATACTTAATCTTCCCTCTACCCCCAACAACCACCAGCAGATTATGGATTGTACCTGTTATTATCATCAAACGTAACTTTTATACAGCAGAAATATCCATAAATAGGATTATAAGAAGAAAATCAAAAATGTGTACATTGGATAATCAGATTAAGCGATCGTGATTAGGGAATGATATCACATTCTAAAGTTTTCAGTTCTGAGGATGTAAACCTTAGATATTCCAAAATTTGATTATTCATGAATCAGAGCTAGTTCATCATAGTTATTTATATCAAAGGTCTACTTTATTAGATTGTAAGCTATGATTAGCAAATATAGTTTGATGCAAGTTTTCAGTTCTTTTATAATTAATTGAAATATGTACTGTATTAGCTGAGTTAAAAATACTTAATAGCTTACTAGTCTGATTGGCAAGATTAAGATTTATTTAATTGATGAATTAATGGATTATAAACTGCATGCTTTAAGATACAGAGTTACCCAAGAAGAGTTAGTCTTGAATGACGACCTAAAACTATTTAAAAATAGAACGACCTCAAGGTTGAAATTGGGGGTTTGCATTAAATGTGTTTTTTTTTACTAATTTGTATAAAGAAGAAACAAACAGCTTCACTGAATTATGTACAGGGTGTCCCAGGAAACATGACAGTTGGTGAGTAGCCTAGAATGTCTTCTTCCATAATTTGTTAATTTGTTTGATACCAAAGAGAATAATGAAAATATTATTTGGGAGTCATGTTAAAGTAAAATTGATTTCAAAGTAAAATATATTTAAACAAAAGATTTTTCTAATGAAATAAACTGAAAATAGCCTTTGATATCTATTACAGTATAGGAAAGACGACATTCATAAATATATATCAATTTTTTATTTCTCGCGGGACACCCTGTATGTAAAAAAAGAATATATTTTAAACAGCCATCTTAAGTTAGTGTTGCTAATCCTTTCAGTTTTTGCCAAGAAAAGCACAAGTTTAGAATAAATAATTAAACAATGGCCTTTCTTTCACTATGCCAAAGGAGTTGAGTTTTTGCCACAAACTCTGATTTTCAAATCTCTGTATCTTTGTAACCTAATGTCGTAGACCTTAGTTATTTAATACTATAAATACTTATAGACAATAAAATCTAAGTTTAAAATATCAAAGGTTTGAACCATCAGGTTGCAAAGATATTGAGATCAGAAGATTTGAGTTTGTGACAAAAACTCAATTCCTTTGGACCCTGAAACTAATGAACGGAATGCACGTACATCACTTGCAGAAGTTACATCCTTAGTGGAAAAGCCTGTATGATTACCTATGCATCTCCTTACAGTATGACCAGGAGTGAGAAACAGGATCCCAAACCTCCACCGACATCAGTTCAACCTATACAACAAGAAAAAAAATATTTAATATATATTATTTAAAAATCCAATTTTGAATCTAATAAACGTTAAAACTGCAGGCCCAACATTTTTTTAAGGAATCTTTCATGATGTTTACACAATCATTATTAAAAAGTAAATTTCGGATTGAAAGATTTTGAAAATAGAGAAATAATTGATTTTTTTTTGTAAATTACAATTTTACAAATAAAGTTATATAGTCTGAAAAAATATTGGAACAAAATTATTGTAGCACTTTGACATCTTTGACATGTACCCGGCCCCATATGCACTGTACAAATATTGGGCAAGACCATTGGTTATTGACAATTTAGCTTATACTAGCGCGCTTGGGAACCCAACTTTACCGGAGTTTCCCCTATAAAAATCAACCCAATAATTTTAGAATTTTAAAACTAAGCTATTAATATTTCGTTCTCCAAATAAAAAATTCTTATGATCGGGCATTAAAAAAAAAACACAGAGATTTATACTTTATTCATAGATATGTATTTTATGTTATTTTTAAGAGCATCTATTTTTTTTACCTTATTGCTATTCCTTCCTCCCATGACATAAAGCTTGTTATTCAGACCAACAACAGCAGGCTGGATCCGAGGTACCTAGAATTTTTAAATGAACATAATCTATAGATATATATTTTACTTGTCTGTCTGTTTGTCTGTCCGTTTGTATCCAATAAACGTCAAAACGGCTGAACCCATTGGGCCCACATTTTTTGTGGGACCTCGCGTGACCCATGGAAGGTCCAGGGATGAACGAATTTTCGAAAATTTGCTTCCATCAAAATTCTATTTTAGAAAATTTTAAAAAATCCACAAATTTATTTAATAAAATCATCGAAATTTTTTGTTTTTTTTTTGTTTCACAATTACACAAAGAGAACATGTTTCCGATTGAAAAAGAAGATGGGCGCGAAGCGACCTAATGGCCTTGTTATCATAAAAACAAAAAGTGAATATACAGTCACTGAAAACTTTCATGTTTTCACTTAACATTTGATTCAGAAATACTCAACTAATGTTATTATAATAATAATTAAACGATGAAGGCATTTTAAAAATAAAAACTACTCTTGGTAGTTGACATTTTTCATTTTTCTTTTTTTGCACTATTTAATTTTATTTTCAATGAAATATCAAACACGAATAAAGATTATTTTATTCCGGGGATTATTTGTTATTTTCCCTTTTTTTCAAAAATCGTTCTCTATATTTCGAAAATGAGGACGAAAATGTCGAAGAAAATTAACAAGAATTCGTGAAAATTTCGAAAAATTTCTTTTTTCTTGGAAACCTTAGTCCCACTATACCTGTAGATCTGGTAGTCTTAACCATTCATTAGTATTAGTATCAAACATCTCTACAGTAGATTGTGCGGTCCAGTGTTCATCTGTTCCTCCCACTACATAGATCTTATCTTTGCATGCTCCAACCCCAGGCATATGCCTTCAGAAGAAGACAAAGCTCATTTAAAAATTCTTTACAAGGACCGTGATTGTATTTTCAAGTGACTTTACATGTCGGATTCACAACGGTACCCTGAACAACTTTGTCTAATCAAACATTAACTATATATGCATGTTTTTCTCATTAAAAATGAATTATTTTTAATTGTGATTTCTCGTCAAAAGAGACTTGCGCATTTCTATACTGCAGAAACATAATGGGGAAGTTTTCATAATTTAACAAGTTGTTCTAGGCTCTAGATAGAGAAAATACAACGGTATATTCCATATTCTTGATTAGAAAAGGTTGTTACAGGGTACCGTTGTAAATTGGGCATGTACTTCTTTTTATATGGAGGGTCACAGTTTCTTTACCAAACCTGATTTTTTTAAAGCTTGAATAAATGTAAACATGACAAGCAAATTAAAAAAACAAAAAATATGTAATTGGTTTATTTATCAAAGATAAATTGTTGTTTTAATATTGAAAAGAATCCATTTATGCAGTTTTGACTTTTCTCTTTTTTTCAACTAATTAACTTTGACAAAACAATGATTAATTTTTCCCCCTGCAACCATTTTGTAGCTAGAGAAGTATAAGTTAGATATATCTCTTTTACACAAGAGATGTATCAGTTAGATATCTCTTTAGCACAAGAGATGTATCAGTTAGAGATATCTCTTTAGCACAAGAGATGTATCAGTTAAATATCTTTTTAGCACAAGGCCGGAAACAATATAGGCTACAGAAGTTTAATAAACCACTTATAGTTACTTAAATATTTGGTTAGGTTTAAGAGGGTTTGGGGGGATTAAGAAATGTTTGAAAATATTTTAATTTGTCTATTTTTGAGTTAGTTTCCTGGGATAATCAAGGTTGGGAAGCTGTTTCCATCTCATAGCAGATCCTTCAGTGAGGTAGAGAACCTTGAATAGTAGGACTTTCATTAAAAACATTTGTGAAACATGTTCTATACAACATCCATAGCTACGTTTATTACAAGGACAGTAATTTCAAGTGACCCTCCATGCAAAGATGGCAATTCCAGATTTACAACGGTACTCTTTACTCCTCATTACGATCGATAAGGTGAAAGATATTTTCGTTTTTCTAGGTTTAAAAGTCTTTATTCTGATAATTCCTAAATGCTTCCTACGTAGAAATGCGCAAGTCACTTTTGTATACAAACATCAATTGTAAACAATCAGTTTTAAAAGTTAAACACATTATGATATCTAATTCATACTTAATCAGACAAAGGTTTTCAGGATACCGTTGTGAATCGGGCATTAACATCTCTGATTGGAGGGTCATTTAAAATTACGCTTACAGTCCCTTTAAGAAATAAAATTTAAAAAGACTCAAAATTGATTTTAACCTCAATAGTATTCAACTGTCCACAACCGGCAACAGCATACAGTTTGGTGTTGATAACAACAGCTCCATGGTACCATCGTACCTTCAGTAGACACAGATGAGACAAATGAGACAAATTAGACAAAAATATGATTTTTTTTTGAGCAAGACCTAAGAGAAGAATTTAACGTTAAAACTGTTTGCTTTGTTTTTACGTGAAAGGGAAATAACTCGCAAACAAAAAAATTCCTATTTTATCTCACAAATCCAGCAAATTAAGATAAAGAATTAAAGAAAATGAAACAAAAAATTAGATAGAAAAGCAATTTTATATTTAAGAATCAAAGAAGAAAAGAAAAAGTATAAAAGCTTCCAATTTTTAGAAATATAGCTTGGGTATACATTTGAAAATATAGCTTGGGTAAACATTTGAAAATATAGCTTGGGTATACATTTGAAAATATAGCTTGGGTATACATTTGAAAATATAGCTTGGGTATACATTTGAAAATATAGCTTGGGTATACATTTGAAAATTGAGTCGCAGATGAGAGTTCACCATGGCATGCAAATCTGCCCCGTTAGTAAAAGTAAATTTAGCCTTTATGAAGCATAAAGTCCTGTCCTGTCCTGTCCATACAGCTTGATACAGTACAAACTGGGACCGGAATGGTTAACCCGGCTCGGTAATTCAAATTTACTACGGCTGCCAGTGATGGTACATGAAGAAAATTTCTCTTCTGCTTCTCTTGAGGATTCCAAATTGGGCTCGTCATTGCAAAGTATTTGCACACAAATGAAAAATGGACAAAAGAACTGGTTTTTCCCCACAAATTCTAATTTTCTAAAACCCTTACATTTGCAACATGATTGTGTAAATATTTAATCGTTTGATCTATACATAATTCCTTGTTTGAAATATATAAGGTCTACGACATTAGGATGCAAAGATATACGAATTAGAAAATTAGAGTTTTTGGCTGAGATTCAAGTCCATCTTCATTGTACCTCATTCATGTCTGGGAGTCGTTTCCATTCTTCTCTTGCTAAATCATAGGAGTACACAGATCTTAGAGTTGTACCAGTCAACATTAAAATAGAAAAAATAAATATCTAAAAGGAATTGAGTCTTTGCCAAAAGCTACATGATTTGCTATTCCCTATATTTTTGCACTCCGATGTCGTAGACCTTAGATATTTTATACTAAAATTTCTGTTATATCAAATAATCAAAGTTTAAAATACCAACGGTTTTTACCATTAGGTTGCAAAGAATTAGGGATTAGAAGATTTATCTTTGTGGCAACAAAATTTAAAGTTTTTATATTATTTTTAACAAAAAAGTAGAAAAATCTAGGTCATACCTTGTTTCTTCCTCCAACCAAATAAAGAGTATTTCTACAAGAAGTCAAACAAGAATATTCATAACCTGTAACGGATCAAATCAAAATCAAATATAATTTATTCGGCACATCTTAAAATGTATAACAAAACTGCTTAACAGATTTAAAGAGAAGTGCCCAGGAGAGCGTGGGAGGCCGGTTTAACCGTGCACCCATATACAATAAACATGGGAATTCAGTGACGAATTCGATATCGTCTTTTTAAATAATTCTTTGATTTAGTATAGTAATACCTACTGAGAAAGCTGTAATCTGTAATAGTTTCGTCTGCTATGTTCACATTTTGTTTGTTTATGTTTTGATTGCATAAGGATGTATTTAGTAAAAAAAGGAAATTGCAGTATACAAACAGAGTAAACTTGTCCGTCTACACTGTTCATCTTGCGGAGACATTTTAGACAGTAGACGCATCTTTACACATCTTTTACCAGTTTCATAAAATAAACTCTAGTAGACATAATAATATTTTGGGTTTCATAAAATAAACTCTAGCAGACGTACAAAATAATATTATAGCTTTTGAAATTAGGTATTACATTGCTAATTCATAACAAAGACGATATCCAATTCGTCACTGAATTCGCATGTTTTTTGGGACACCCTGAATGTTTGGCGAATGTAAATATTTGACTTGGTACGGATGGCGGTGCAGATATAACCCTCTTCTTAAAAAGCCCGCTTCACAAAACGTTATCTGATTAACAATAACGAGATATCAATGTTTTTTACTATGAAATGTGATAATTTTAAATTCTGGTGTTTCTGTAAAAGTGACTTGCGGATTATTAGTACGTAACAATCGGAGGTAATTTTCAGCATAAAGCACTTTTAAAGCCAAGACAACGATGATATTTTTCTCATTTTTGCATCATCAAATAAAGGGTATCCTCTAGTCAAAGGATGTTTAATTTAGACATTATGCATCAAAGACATAAAAAAAACTAATTTACCTCCATCCTCTGGAACTGTAACAAAGTTCTGCCATTTCTGAAAAATATTTTTTGTTAAGTAGAACAAGATGTGCTAAGATAAGCGTGCTGTTCAAAGAAGGTATTACAGTGCCCGTGGATACAACTGGTGTTAACAATGAGAGTTCCATACTTTAATGAAAATACCAGGGAAACTCAGCGTTGCCTGGAAACTAAACATTCTCGTGGCTCTACCGAGTTCCCCAATCAAAATTAACGACAAAACATTTAATGGGTCTATAAGCTTTGATCGAACATGACAACGGACAAACAGAGATTATTATTTTATCTAATATATATATAGATTTTATTTGTTCACTATGTATTAATTTATCTGTCCATTTTATGTCTGTTTTTACCTCTGTTGCAGTATTGTAACCATAAATTAAATCTGAACCATCATGGTGTATGGCAAGGATGTCATTTGTACCCCTACATCTGGTTTTACGCTCCAGCTGATTCGTTTCTGTTCCTTCAGATCTGAAGAAATCAAGTTTGTAAATTAAACTTTTATCAATTTTAAAATTCATACTTACTTAAACTGAAGAAAAGGTTCACATGCTGCAATTGCTTGATATTTTTCATCATTTTCCATTCTCCAAATAAAATGATCAGAGCAGAGGGAAAATCTAAAATTATGAATTTAAATTTCAAAAAAATAAAATTTGTTAATTATCTATACCTTATATTGTTTAAGATAGACTGATCTATATCCAAATCCTTTTCCTTAAACCACCTAAAATTCAAAGACATTTTTGGTTAGTTTTGAGTTTTAAAAACCCATGAGAATCAATAAACTTCAGAATGATAATTGCATCTTACCTTAGAAGTGCATCAATAAGCGTATCTTCGTTAGCAATAAGTTCATCACTGTTTAGGATCATTGATAGCTCTTCCTTTTCCAACTCAAACAGTTCAGTGCTTTCCAGAATCCTTTAGAAACCAATTAGATAAACTCAAAAGGCCGTAATTTCAAGTGACCCTCCATTTTTAAAGTGACATGTTCGTTTCTAGTACCCTTTGATACTAAAAAAAAATAATAATAAAATTTGGCAGTCGTTTTATAGCAAAAATTATTTCAATGTAAAATATTTTTATTAAGCTTTTTTGTAACGAGTCAAACTGCGAAAAGTCCTTATAATATCTTATATAGTATATGAAAGACGACATTCAAAACGATTCACCAACTGTTATGTTCCGTGGAACACCCCGTATATGTGGTCTTTCAGGCTATTTTTGGCGAATTTCGAATGAGAGATCATGCTATGATTAAAAATATTCCGACACAGATAGGATGCACTCCATTAATTGCTGTTTTATGTACTTATAATTACCTTGAGAATTCACTGTAACAAAAATTAACAGCTGCTCTCTCAAGCTTAGTCAATCTGAAATAAACGGAGAATATACTTTTTTATTGAACACACTTATTTTTCTTTTTAAATTTCATATTCCTTCTTTTAAAGGGAGTGTCTGGCTAAAAATGGTAGTTGTTCTAGGAATGCAGTATTGTGGAGAATTTTTTAAAGGATTTATTTGAGACCTATCAGAAGTTTTCACTTTGCATATTTGCTCAGCAAGAGCGCAAATTCAATCATCAAAATCCTCATTGATTGTCCATTCTGGAGGAATGGTTTTTAGAATCGGTTTTATAAACATTATGAAATAACGACGACGAAAAATGTAACAAAAACTCTACAGTAAACCAATTATTAGTCAAGAAACATATTAATTAGTAAAAATTTGTCAAAAAATCAATGTTAAAATCAATTATCTCTTTTGTTACATTTTTCGTGGTCAGCCTCTGGAGGGATGATTTTGAGAATCTTTTTTTTTGATTATTCAATGATGATCGTCATTGAATAATCAAAAAAACGATTCTTAAAATCATCCCTCCAGAGGCTCCAAAATGGACAATCTATAGAGGATTTTAAATATTGAATTTGCGCTCTTGCTGAACAAATTTGCACCGTAAAAACGTCTGATAGGTCTGAAATGAATTCTAAAAAATTCTCTATACATATATTGCATTCTTAGCTGAACTACCATGGTGTCTAATTAGATATTTACTTTACACAACCATAATCCTCAAAATATATGTTAATAAAAATTCAAAATATCTGACCAGATTTAATGAATAGTGAAAAACATAGTTAAACCGCAAATAGACATATCGAGTTGAACACCTTCTCTTAAGCTGGACCCCGCTCAAAAGAGGGCTCAATTTAGCCTATTCGGTCTTGCTTTTCACCAAATCTGGTAAAGATTTAACATAACTTGTAATGTCATGCAGTAGAAATGCACAAGCCACTTTTGTAGAGAAACCACAATTGAAAAAAATAAGTTATCAAAATTATAAACATTTATATCTAATTATACTTGATCAAACAAAGTAAATCGGGCATTGCTTTATTTTTTGCATGGAGGGTCACTTGAAATAAGGCGTACAGTCCCTTTAACCTGTAAATTCTCGCAAGTCTCCAAGTAGCTAGAACAGTATAGAGGTTGATATTGGAGTGAAGGTAGGTAGCCAGTGTATCCACTAACCAGGGTATTAACAACATATCTGCAGCGGAGAGCAAGGAACTAACCGTACTTAAACAAACTTCAATCCTGCCTATAACAATTAACGAATAATTATCTAATTAAAAATTAACAAATTTTAATAGTATTAAAGAGAAAAGAAGTCATTTTTTAAAGTGTCTGTAAAAGTAGCTGAAGTGATCAGCGTTGCCCGTGGGTAAAAAAATACTTCAACACTTGGAATGGAAAAACTCTACTGCATCAAAATTGTTAAAATGAGGGGGGGGGGGGGCAGCCAAAATGAGTTTATTCCATAAACCTTTTATTTATGTCAAATAAGACTTGGTCGCTAAAGATTTTTTAAAATGTTTGTTTAAATGTTGTGTTTTAACTTTAACCTGTGTAGAAGTAATCAATGATAGCTTTTATAGATTCAAATTCCATTCCAGAAAGTTCAACAGCTGCAGCAAGGCCCTAAAGTATCATTTTTTTAAAGATCAAAACTGTTGTCAATACTTGGATTCGTTTTTTCTTTTTTATATTCCGAAGGATTTAATAAACTTTTCTTGGATATTCCGAAGGAAGCCAGCAGCTATACCTGGAGGGTCAGATAATCACTTAATTTTCAAATTCAAAAGTTGTCTCAAATTGTAGTTACAAGTCACAAGTTGGATTTAGCCAATTGCAAGGATTTAATGCAAGGAAAGTTATTTCAGAGCTGAACGCATCTTTTGCACTGCATTGTACTGCCACTGGGCGGTAATGTAAACACAAGACGGATGTCGAAGCCTGACATGGGATCCATCTTTCACATAAATAATCAATGAAATATTCTGGTCATAGGAAACTATTATGTGAATTATCAAAATTATCAAAATTCAATGGTTTTAACCTTCTCGGATACTAAACGACACTGAGGTATTTATTCTTGTTTACAAATTCCGCTCAGAGAGAATTGGTTTCAATATGTACGCAACTTTCCTTGCATTACATTCTTGGCCAATTGTAACAATAAAACTAAACAATAATAAACATGTGTTACTGTTACCTGGTTTCTGAACAAAGCTCTAAAATATGGAGAATTTGCTGCCAGAACAGCTTTATGACAGGGAATGCAGTCATCTCCAACCTAAAATATTTGTAATATAAAACGAGAACCAAAGCTAGAAACTAATGAATGAGTTAAACAATAATTCTAAATGTATGTATACTTATAGTGCACAAATTTTAAATATATTATGTATGTCATGCGCTTCAGAAGATACCAGTTAGCAGGTGCAGGATATTATTTTTTTTTTACTTTTAATTAATAAAAGACTTAAAAGTTTGTCCCAAAACCAATTTTCTAATGCCTATATATTTGAAAATTGATTATGTAAACCTTTGATATTTCAAACTTTGAATGATGTTTGATCCACCAGAATTCAAAGTTTGAAATAAAATAAAATTAAAATAAAATAAAAAATCACGTTGCATGCAAAGATATACAGATTGTAAATTTAGAGTTTGAAGCAAATGTTCTTTTGGAGAGAGTGTCTAATTTGTAATACTAGGCTTTTAGGGGTTTTGCGAATTTTATTAAAAAAATCGTTGATTTTCAAAATGTTCAAAAAATGAATTTTGTTAGAGGAAAATTTTTGAAAATTTGAGCATCCATAAACCTTCCTGGGGTCATGTGAGGTCCCATCGCGAGGTTAAAATCATGATTTCGCATCTATATATATTTAAAGTTGTTATCTCTGTTTGTCTGTATGTTTTTACGATCATAACCTGCAGGAACCCCTGGCCCCGTTTGCCTCAAATTTTGATTTGGGAACTCGGAAGACCCACAGGAATGTTCTTAGCTTGGTTTTAAGATTCTAAGTTGAGTGGGTCGACTTAAATAGCGAAAATTTAGTTTCCCTGTAAAATCGTTCAAGTTCGGGTAAACGGCGGTTATTTTTAAGTAACCTTGGCAGCACTGGGTTCCCAAGCTACACATCTATAAATAAATATCGTTTTTATCATTATTTATTTTTACTACAAAAAATAAAAACACTAATAAATTTATTCAAATGAAATGATGGTAATAGGATGATCTGATCTTAGATCTTTATTAATTGCTACAATCCTCCAATCATCAGACCAAACATTGGTGAAAGTTCCATCAAGTTCTATCTGTTTCACCATTTTGCCAGTCTTTAAATCCCTGAAAAAAAATTTTAAACTATAATTTATTATTTCATAAGCTATAGCAAAGTGGCAAGATTAAAAGATGATCAATTATTTTTTAACAGTTTTTTGCATAATTAAAAAAAATTATTTTTAGAAATGTTTCCCATTTTTTCACAATAAAAGCTAAAACTTGATTGGGGAAATCATTTAAAAAAAATTGTATTATGTTACTTAAAAACTTTATGTCTTTTGGTTAACTTAAAACTTTATGTCACCTGAATTCTAATCTTGAAGATCCTTGTCCTATAAATACAAGACCAGCAATATCAGAGCCACACAGAGGCACATTCGTATCAGATCTAATTATTAGTAATTAAAAAAAAATAATTCTAATAATATATGTTACCCTCTGTTACAACCCTTCCTCTGAGTTCCCACCCTTTCCCTTATACTTGTTCGCCCCCTCCTTACCTTTTTCCTAATTTATCATCATTGTTTTGTTTAAAATGTACACTTTACAGTGTACATCCCATTTATTTACAATTCTTATTCGCTTATAATGGGCCAACCAATCAAAAAAACCAACTCTGGTTAGGCGGGTCCAAACTACTAAATTGTGATTTTTTATTTGTATTATCTCGTGCTTTGTAGTTGAATAAAAATATGAAAACAAATATGAAATCTAAAACAAGTATTTACCTCACATGTTAGAAATTCATGTGATTACAGTGATAAACAGAAAGTAATTGAATAGGAAGACGACATTATAGTAATAATCAAGTATTACAAAGTGGTAATTGACAAAACTGATTCTTTGGACTTTTTTTAGTGGATTGGGTTACTGGGTTTGTTTCAATTGGACAATTACTGTGTCTCATGCTCCGTGGAGTCTTTAAAGTTATAACTTGATTCTGAAAGTCTTTCTTCCTTTTCCAGAATTTTCTGCTTATCAATATATAGTTAAAACTGCTTGTCTGCTGAAATTATTGTATGCTGTAGCGATACATTTCAAATATTCGTATTATTTCGCTTAATTGTGAAAATTAAAAGATGGACCTATTACTGAAAACATTTTTTTTGACCCCCTCCTCTGCATTTTATATTTTCATCTTTAGTTCAATTTTTGTGGGGTGACGTTGACCGAGGGGGGGGGATGACGTTGAGCGGGGGGGGGATGGTGTTGACCACATTTGTGAAAATACCAGAAATGCAATTTATTGTTATACAACCAGCATAGTACAGGGTTACCCACAAAAGATGAGACTTCAGAGACAATTGTGCAGAATTTATACTGTCTGTTTCATTATATACTTATGATTCCCTGCAACTATTAACTTATTTCTTTTATGTCTGATCATTAATTAAGCCATGAAAATATTATATTCAAGGCAGAAGACTTAATTTAACCTTGAATTTGTCAAATTTTAAGAGTTTCAGGTCGTCTTTACAGTCTCATTCTTCGTGGGTAACCCGGTACATGTGTTGGTAAGTTATATTATATTATAAAATTTTTTAACCAACCTGAAAGTTGACATTTCTGATTTACTGCTAATTCTCCAAAGTTTTTGAGAATCTGCAGGCCAACTGTAGGCTAACGTGACAATTCCTCTGCAAAAAAATTTGCATAAGTTTGCTAGGAAAATTTTCTTATCTCATATCTTTTCAACCAGACGGTGTAAACCATTGATGTTTAAAATTTAGATCATGTGATGTTACAGAATTCATAGTTTGAAATATTATAGGTCTTTCCTATTTCATTTTGTTGTCATTAGATTGCGTAGATGGATGATTAGATACAGGGTGTCCCAATAAACAAGGGAATTCAGTGACGAATTCGAGATCGTCTTTTTAAATAATTCTTTGATTTTAGATAGTGATACCTACTGAGAAAGCTGTAATTCGTAGGATTTTGGTCTGGTATGTTTACAATTTGTTTGTTTATGTTTTGACAGTTGTACTAAGTAAAATAAGAAAATTACAGTATACAAACAGAGTAAACTTGTCCGTCTTCACTGTTCATCTTGAAGAGAGATTACAGACACATCTTTACAGTCATTTATCGTTTTCATAAAATAAACTCTAGCAGACATAATAATATTATGGCTTTTGAAATCAGGTAATACACTGATAACAAAGACGATATCGAATTCGTCACTGAATTCCCATGTTTATTGGGACACCCTGTATTATAGTATAGAGGCAAGTTTTCACAATCTGAATCAGCGAAGCCTATGGATTGGAATTCTTCTTTCCAAATCGATTTTTTGGGGTTTTACAATTTTCCATTCGTAATTTGGTCGGATTAAAATGGATAAAGGGATATTTTCACTCAGTGACAAAATTTTTTTTTTACGGGTTTGAAGTAGCGGTGTTACCTATGTGTTCTATGGCTAAATACCAAGGTTGAATTTCCTGGGTAAAGATATGTCATTGCTCTGGGAGTTACCACGGTATCCTAAACCATCAGAGATATATCTTCACAATTCTATTAGATTGAGAAAACATATTGTCTCGTCTTATCAAAAATACTTCAATTGACTCTGCAATAAAAAATACTCAGTTTTCAAAATTATAAACATTGATATCTATTTGATCAGAAAAAGCTTTAAAGGGTACAGTTGTGAAATAGATATTGGCATCTTTGCATGGATGATCACTTGATATTACGCCTGCAATTCCATTGAAAACCAAAGATTGTAGACATTTAAAAGTTCAAACAGACTGCAAACATAGAAAAAAGTACAAGTATTCTGTTCATTAACTGTTTTAACCTTTTTACTTGATGCAAAGAATATTAAAATTTGGTTCTTTTTTTATAATATAAGAATCAGCATTAATTATACAGGGTGTCCCATGAATAGGGTTGGGCATTAGCCAGATTTTTTCTACAGAAGATTTTATTGTTTTTAGACTTTTAAAAGGTTTTACGACAATATGAGAAGGTTCCAACATTTTGAAAATTATTCTGTCTAAAAATATTAAAAGTTTCTGTAAAACGAATCTATTGACCATCGCTACCCTTGAAACATGAAAAGTTTTAAATGTCGTCTTCCATACTTTTTTATTCGTTGATATCAAAGAGAATAATGAAAAACATCACATGGCAGTCACATTTAAGTAAAATTGATTTCAAAGTAAAATAAATTTGAGTTTTTAAAGATTTTTTAAAACTGAATAAACTGCAAAAAGTCTTTATATGGAAGATGACATTCAAAACTATTCACCAGCTGTCATCTTTCCTTCAGGAGACCTTGTAGCTTAAGGTAATAGCATGACAAAAAATAAAATTTTATTTTTACTCGAAATGTACCTTGAGACAGTCTGCTAGATACATATCATATTCTGTTTCAAACTCATAATTATATTCAGATATACCCTGAAATACAATGATTTTATTGAAATCTCCCAAAAATTATTTTATAGCTTTTAATGTGTTTAATTCTTATCAATTCCTAATGTTTTTTTGCTTTTGAAATGCACTTAAGTCCCTTTTCAAAATTATAAACATTTATACTTTTTTCTGAAAATGAATTTCACAAACAAAATTAACATAAATCTTTGATTTATCATTATGAAGTTAGAAATGATCCATCCAATTTTTGTAAAAAAAAGTATTTTTTCATAATTTTAAAAGCAGCAGTTCTGCACAAGACTTATTTAAAGATAAATCTATTATTAATATAAAGTGTACACAATTTTTTATTGCAGTGAGATGAATAAAACTGTGGAATTGGAAGACGACATTTAACCTTTTGTTTGATATTTGATGATAAACCAAATAATTTATAACCAGCAGCTTGAAATTTAAAAAGTGAAATATGTCTTAAAGTCATATTCTGTAAGCGTAATTTCAAAGATGACAATGCTCAATTTGAAACGATATCCTTAAAAGCTTTGTCTGATCAATTCTGAATTATTTATCCATATTTTTGCTTGTTTACTTTCATTCGCGGTTTCTATGTAAAAGTGACCTGC